CTTGTCAGTAAGAACCTCTGTTAGTGAGAAACCTCTATAAATGAGAAAAATTTCTTGGTCCCTTGGATTCTCACTTATCAAGGTTCGACTGTATATTTGTGATGTCCATGGATATCGTGTAATATCCGTTGCTTTTAAGACTAGAATTTATAAATTTTTTAACGGAAACTTGAGTTTATTATTTTTCACATAGAACACGAAACAAATTGTTCCGTAACAAATAAAATGTTTAATGAATATTTCACCTTAAGTACCTAATGTGTAGAGCATATTTGAAAACACGGAATCGTAACACAAGTCATATTTTGGGACAGTGTCCCAAGTGCGAAATGCCAAGACTGCAAAAACGGCCTATCATTGGTCCAGTAATGTCTGCCGAAAATTGGCAGTAGTTACTGGTCCATTACTGGTGTTCAAAGCGTCCCATTGATGGGCCAATGATGGCACCGATGGTCAGATTTTTAAATTTTTTAAGACTGGGCCGGCTCACGGTCCAATAATGGCACATTCGCGGCAAAGTTGATCAATTTTTAATGGCAAAAGCCAATTGCTAATGATGTGACGATGATCGGCTCATTAATGGCAAACATTTTGTATCTATGATGGCAAATTATAATTGCCAATATTGGGACGTAGCTCGGCCCAATAATGGCACAGTATCGGCCAGTGTAGTGTAGCTTATAAGAACCCTTTTGCTTCCTCGACTTCATCTCAGAGTAGCAGAGTGGTCAGAGTGTTAGGCTGTGGTGCGTCAGGTTCAGGTATCGATCCCCGCGAGCGGTAAGAATTTTTCAAATATTTGTAAGTTTGCGTTTAATTTAGGGAAATAAGCTGTCTAAATATTATAAATTAATTAGTTAATTAAATAAAAAACATATTTTTTTATTTTTTTAACACTGGGGAGTAATGGCAGCCAATAATGGGCCATTAATGTCTGCCGAGATCTGGCTGCCGACGTCCAACCATGGTTAACACCACAAGAGTCGGCGCAAAGTCGGACCAATATTGACTGCCAAGTCTCGATGCCAGCTTTGCAAATACTGGGCCAGTGGTGGGCCACGTTGGTTTTCGCACTTGGGGTACGATGTCGTAAAAGATGAAATATGAAATGTTTTTTACATTAAAAGTATCAGAAATAATTACAATGTCGGTTTCCTTCATATAGAGAATATTTCTGATGTCATTTTGTTATTTATTTAAAAAAATATATTTGTTTCTACATATTTGAAAAACAGTACACATTAACAATAATAAAATATATTAAACAATATTCTTTAATTTGGTTAATGAAATTTTTTATAGCGTAATGTTCATTATGCAAAAATTAAAAATAGCACAAAAGCACTTGTTAAATAATATATTGCTAATATTTTCTATATTTCATTCACCCTATGAAAAAAGTGGTCTATTTCTGCCAAAATTGATATTCGACTTTTTACTGTGGATTCATATAGTGTGGGGTGGTAAAATAAATAATTATTTCCTATTCGAGATTTCTCAGATTGTTTATTATAAATAGTATTAAAGTTGCGGAAAAAGTTTTTCGATGACCGTTCTTTCTCATGAAATTTTAGAAAAAAATTAAAACTTATAGTATGTTATTAAAAGTTATAGAGCTCTAAACTACCTATAAAATGACGAGTCGCAACTTGAAATGGTCCATTTGTTTATTTGAAACTGACTTTAAACTACTAATAATGGCACTTCTTTAATTGTTTAATAACCTATATAAATGTGCCAAAGCTGGATATTATTGGACAAATAGTTTATGAAAAATTTGCTTTTGTTAACCCAAGTAGCACACTTAATATTAATGTAATGTTACATGTATTGATAGTAATATTACATTTAACATTACAACAATATTAAAATGTCCGACTCAAGGTAATGTTACAGTAACATTTCATGGTAATATTACTATATCAAGAAAATAATTTAAATATTCCACAAAATTATTTATAAAGTAATTTTTTGTGAGTAATTCAATGGTTATAAAATGAAATCGGTCAGAAAATCTTTTGACCCTTTTTGAATTTTTATTTTTCTTAAAAATTTGTGGATTTCGAAATCCATGAGTAATTTTGTAGAAAATATGTTTTTGAATCCATAAAAAATTGCCAAATAAAAAAATTGATTTTCACAATTTTAGAAGCATTTTTTAAATCTTTGTTTCTCGGACAAAAATGCTAAAAAATACCATTATTATTCAATTTTTGTTGTATGGAAATTCATTTGTTTATTTTTCTAACTAATTATAGATGATAATTTTTATATAAGAAAAATAAAAAAAAAAATTAGGATAAAATTATGATCTGAAATTAGTTAGAAAAATAAACAAATGAATTTCCATAGAAAAAAAATTGAATAATAATGGTATTTTTTTAGCATTTTCAGCCTAAAAACAAAGATAAGAAGTAACAACTAAAAACAAAGCTTTTAAAAAATGCTTCTAAAATTGTGAAAATCAATTTTTTCATTTGACAATTTTTTATTGATTCAAAAACATATTTTCTACAAAATTACGCATGGATTTCAAAATCCACAAATTTTTAAGAAAAATAAAAATTCATAAAGGGTCAAAATATTTTCTGACCGATTGCATTTTATGACCCTAAAGTGATCCTAACTTGGAAGCATCCGTGGTTCTATCTTGACCCTAAATATAATAACCAATTGTGGACTCAGAACTTTTTTTAATTTTATTTATTTACTAATATTTCAATTTTTATATTAAGCTTTTTTACGCTTTTACAATATTTTATAAATTATTTTTTGATAAAAATTTACTTCTCTCTAAATCTGAAATATTAGTTACTTATTAACTAAGGAAATGCGGATTTGATTACTAAATGGATTATTAGTAACAATTTTAACTAATTTTTAATAAAAAAAAATTTTAATAATTTATTGTTGAAGAGAATAACTTATTTATTTTTGTAATTATTTTTTAAATGATAGAATTATTAATTTTCCATATAATATAATGTTATATTTTTTACTATTTTTAATTTAGTACCTCTTAAATTTTTTTAAATTTTACTTAATTTAGTATTTATATTTAAATTGATAAGCATGAATTAACAGTTTTATAATTTAAAAAATTAATTAAAGATGTTACTAATTTATTTAGTAAACAAATCTGCACTATTTCATTAGTTGAGAACAACTATTTCAGATTTAGAGAGAAGTAAACTTTGTCTCAAAATAATTTAAATTATAAGAAAAAAATTTGCAATTAAATTAAAAATATATTATAATTTTAAAATTGTCTATTCTTGTAGTTACCGGGTATAGGTACTGCCAAGCTAGAACCTCTGTTGGCCCAATATTGATTTTAGTCATACCTTTGCGATTTCTACTCGGACTACCTATACAAAAAAAAGAATTCCACAGCTTCAAAAATAAGTTCTTTTAATTTATTAAATTTTTCCGTAAAACTTGCTGCAAATTTTTTGCAACCTACTTGTGGAAATTTTTAGCAAGTTTCCCGTGCAACTTTAAAAGAAATTTCCTATTTCGCTTTAAGGAAAATTTCCCTGACATTATTTAGAATACTTTTTGTATGGTCAATTTTAAGGAAAGACGTGGAGTAAATTATTCTACAACTTTCGTTTAAATTTTTTAAAAAATTTCCTCTATATTTTTTTCAGAAAATTTACATTGATAACTCCCAGAAAGTTAACATTGGAATATTTAAATCGAAGGACTTATAAAGTTTATAGGAAGTTACCAGGAAGTTAACCGATTTAACTATATTGAACTTAACACCAGTTAACTTCCCGAAAACTTCCCGCAAATTACGGTGCTATCTGGAAAATTAGTAATAAGAACGTGGTAATTGATAATTATGGTTTATGAAAAGTTTTAATACACAAACAACAGAAAGAGACACATTACATTTGCCATACAATAAAACTACTGTGTACAAAATAAACTTTTAGCTTTAATCACTAAAATTTTCTGCAAACATTTTACAAGCTTTATGCAAAATCTCTCGATAAGCTTTCTCTGGGAAATCTTCAGCAATTTTGCACTATAAGTTTACAAAAAATTTCTTATAAAATTTTCTGTTATTTTTTGTGATACTTTCGTTGTTATTTTGGAGAAAAATGTAAAGTTAATTTCTTTTTAATGTTTACAGATATGCTTTTGTATATTTATTCGCATTCTTTCAACAAATTTACATCAATACATTTTAAAAAATTAATTCCGAAAAATTTTGATCGATGAATACTTAGAGGTTCAAGGAATTTATCTGGAAGTTATCAGAGAAAATTTTCTAAATTACAGGTAATTGACATCTTTCAGATAACTTGAATGTAAAAATTGTACTACTGATATTTATTAGTTACTCTTATCGATTATTCAATCTAATGTAATAATCAGTTAATAAATTAATCTAATTTTAGCCAATTATGTTATTGCACCCAAGACTTTGAATTTTTTAAAAAAATCTTAAATATTTTACTAGGTTTACATATTCGATTCGATATTTTGCATTTTTAAAAAATAATATATTTTTAATTTGTAGCTCCACAAATGTTTAATAAGATTCAATCGAATTCTGTCAATTTCAGTATAAACTTTATTTGGCATTATATTTAATCCAAAAGATTTAATTTTTTAATTGGAAGATTTATATTAAATGACTCAAGAAACCCTCAAGCAACAAGTTATAAATAAAAAGCATAAATGTTAAAAAATATTCACCATATGGAATCCAGAATTCTTAATTATTTCTAAAAAAGATTAAATTAAACCGAAGAAACTTTAATGTAACTGCCATATTTCATAAAGTTTTACTTTTGAATTATTTTTGGCTCGAAAACAATTTTTTCACCAGGCTGCGAAAGGGTTGTAAGAACTACTCAAGTATTCATTCATACGTGCAAAAGCATATATGAATACCCATACTTCAACAGATGTGCATTTTAGTTAATCACTTATGCATAATCTAAAAATGTTATATCATCATTTTGGTATTAGAAAAGTATAGTTACTTGATAATTAATCCTATTTGGCGACGTCATTAGTATATCATCTTTCACTTGAAATTATTTTATTTAAGTAAAATTTAAATCCATTTTTCTTTTATCAATTATTCTGTCCTGATTATTTGGAAATTTTAACATCACTTATTTTAGCAAGTCCAATGCAAAAACACTAAAAGCAAATTATCTGGAGTGTGAGATCAACTTGTCCATAAATCCATCACATTGTTTATTGGCAGCATGGCGCGCGCGACCCACGTGCAGACAATCAAGAGCAAGAAAGTTAAGTGTTGGAAACATCATAAGAAATAGTTCGGTCACAAAATTCTGATTAACCTTTCTTTTATCTTGTCAGTCAATTTCTTTTCTCCTCAACATTATAACAGTATCTTTTACATCACAATTGTAAAGAAAAGTTGTAAATTTTTATTAAAAGTACATTATTTAAAAATGTTTTAATGTTTTAATTTATCACATAAGTAGAAAATTATTAAATTTAGAACCTCAATTAAAGATGTCAGTGTTCAAGATTTTTAAGAGTCTGAGGAAAAGTAAATAATTACTTAATGAAGCGAATAGAATCATATTTGGTTGATAAATTATTAGTTATTTTGTCAATCTTCTTTTGTGTCTTGAATTAGTCTTATATTAAATAACTTAAAATGTAGAATCTTGTTTAATGTTTGTACAATGTAGGCATATCATTATTCTTCCTTGGCATTTTTTGTGTTATTTACATAGAGGTATGTAGTATATATACTCTTCCTTTAAAGTCATTACTTTTTTATTTAATGAGAAACATTAACTAACTAATACACTTAAAGTCTCTGAAATACTGGTGTTTCTTAACCTTCATTAGTCATTAAAATGTTCCCAAATAAACCATTTCAGATAAATAAGGCAACTTTAAAAAATAACATTTTGAGTTGAACAAATAACATGATCCTAGTTGACGGTCACGAACACTTAAAAGTCCTGAAATCGACAAAGTGTTCTCATAAAACCGTATAAAGCGCCGGCATTTATAAACACCGGTCGCGATGGACTGACGATAGGAGCAGCGATATCTTCTAGGTTGTTCCACCCCAACGCCACTGGCGTCGCCGCATGAATCTGGACACGCGCGTTACAGTATCGTATGTAGATACCAGGATATATCCACAGAAAAAGATAATAGGAAGAACAACGAATTTGAAGGTTGAAAGCATTATACAAAAACAAGCAGTTATAATGTTTCATTTGTGCGTGATCATTCATTCTTATTCATTATCGGATTGTAAATCATTTTCTTATAATTAACATAGCCAAGATGTTATACTAACAGATTGTCTTGAAATTTGGTATACACATTCCATGTTGACAAATATTTTACACGTATTTTTTATATCAGCATAAATATTTTAGAAATAAAAACTACCTTCGAATTATTTTCGCTGCGTAAGAGTGGAGTTAATTTTAAAAATTTTAACTGTATCCTCACAGCTGCATAAATTATTTTAGAACACTGTTGACCTAACAGCTTGAGGATATTTAGTATATCCAACGGATATCTTAAGAATATCTATTTGTCCTTAAAATTTAAGATAGTGTAATATGCCAAAAATGTCCATAGACATAATAGAAATATCCTGATTTCCAATAACCAAAGGACATCCCTTGGACATCTGTGAAATATCCTAAAATAACCGTTCATTCCTGTTAGGGTGACTTAGAAATATTCTGGAAATCAGGATATCTTAAAGACGCCCGTGCAGAAATGGTATGGTAAAGTTTTAATGGGGACCTCCCCAATTTACTGTATTTAAAAAAGGTCACCAACGAGAGACACTAGTAGGATTTTAGTCACTTTTGTTACGCTCGTGGTTACGCGGTAAAAAGAGGTTGATTGAAAGAAATGAAAATGTATACAAATATCGCTCAATTCTGAATCATTTCAATGCTAGATTATTTAGAATTGAAAACAATTTAATTCGGTTCAATACCATAAAATTTGTAATCCTTTGAATTCCATTTACGACATAAAATATTGCTCACACTTTAATTCACTTTAATAAAAAGGAAATAAAATGCATTAAGGTATTTGTCGCGCGACTGGTCACTCTCAAAAGTTTGTATCCGTTGACTGTACTTATGAAACGATTATGAATGCGAGTTTCCGAAAAACTTTTGCGGACGTACAGTTTGACACACAGATGTTCTCAATGTATATTCATAACCTCTCGCATGAAAAACGATCGTGGCAACGTCGCAAGTTTGGCGTATGGCCGTCTTTAAAATTTCGCGCCAAAAGTAGCAGACAAGCTGTAGTATTTAACAAGCGCTATTGCCACGTTTACGAATTCACCTGTCATTTACAGTAAATGTTAAAATAATTTTTCAAGTTTGATGTTAAATATCTTTTAAACGAGACGGTGAAAAATTTTCATTTTTTTTATAAAAGTTCATTTTGGTTCTATAAATAAAACTTTAGTTTTTCTAAAAAATCTGTCGATTAGTATAAGTGCAAAAATTAAAAATCTGTGGTTTTCATTTGGTTTTCCTATACCGTACATGTTAAAAATCGAAACTTTGATTTCATTTTTTGAGACTTACAGACGGTCAATTTTATTTTAATAGGCCTTATTTTGTAGATAAATATCCAAAGAATAATTATGTGAAATTTAAAAAAATTCTGTCGAAAACGAATTTACGCGACAAATACCTTAAAATGACTGCATATATGGTTAAAATTCACAATGCTTTTAATTCCAAACCATTGCAATTTTTGAAATTTTGTGTAAACATTTTAATCTATTTCAATCAACCTCTTCTTACTAGGTAGGAGATTCTGACTGGAGATTCTAGTTTGCTTTTCTAAAAGTTCTAAAAATTATTTCTTTTATTGGAAATAAAGTTCAAAGTATTTTTCATATCCCAGTAAACGAAAACTAATTGAAATGAATTAAAAAGAATTCACAAAGAGCTTTCGTGAATCCCGCTTTGTGACAAATACGAATTGGAGCCATGATGCAATTTTCCTGAATTCGTGAAACTGTATTGAACTTCCGAACCTTCTATCCGTACCAATTCACTGGACAAGTTTTGAGCCTTTAATTTTTTTCAATTCGTTAGCACGAATTCAATGCATTCCTTGGCCATTTCTTTCGAATGCGAATTCGTTTGGACAAATTGGTACATATTGAATTAAATTCAATTGAATATACAAAGAGCTTGAGTGAATCCCGCTTTGTGACAAATACGAATTGGAGCCTACCAAAAATGTTAATTCGTTTCAATTCATTTGAATTAGTTTTTTTTTACTGGGATGTGCATTAATTTTTAAATTGAAATACTCAATAGTTTTCTCAGAAAAAATTCCAGAAAAACTGGCTAAAGGAGGAGGGTCGATAAGGCCTGTTTTCGGCCACCTTGAAATTTTCATTTAAATGCTTGAAAAAAATTTCCACTAAAGAAAAATGATAATTTTGATGATTGAAGGTTAAAAGAGGGTGTTTGGAGCATATTAACCCCTAAATAATAAGGGTTTTGTATAAAAAATGGGTCAAAATTAAGGACAAAAGAATTTCAAATTTTGAATTAATTGGCTTGAAAATCATTATTCGGAGATTTTTGGAGTCGCTGATTACAAATCTGATGTTAGTTTTCCAAAATTCAAAATGGCGGACGACTTTTTAAAAAATTAATTAATTGCCTTGAAAATCGTTACTCGGGGGTTTTTGGGTTCGCTGTTTACGAATCTGATGTCAGTTTTTCAAAATTCAAAAGGGCAGATCCAAAATGTTGGACAAAATTTAAAAATCACTTAAATTCATTCGAAACTTGATACTTCTCCTTTTTTGGTAAATACCATACAACAAAATGTAAAATAAAACACTCAGATATTACTAAAATCTGGATTTACTAAAAATTAATAACTTTTCTTTAAAGTACAAACTACAAAGTAATTTTTTAAGGACGAAATATTAGGTCTTCTTAGTTAATAATTTTGAACCAACATCATTTTTTTAAAAAATTACATATATTAACCTGATAAAAATAGTAGATAAAAATAGTATTTTTTTATTTTTCGCTATCGTAATACCTTTAAAATTTTTCCTGCAAAGTATTATAATTTTTAAAATTAGTCGGCAACGACTTTAGTCAAAATATAATAAAATTACTCATTAACCTTTTATCAAGTAAACCAGCTTATTTCAACTCTGAAGTTCTGGAATTATATGTATATCAAAATCAAGGAGAAAGTAAAAAATGTAATTTCATATAATTTCATTTTTTTAAAGCCCAGTAAAAGGAAGAAATATAAATCAACCTGTTTGGATACTTTAATAAGCCGTCTGCCTATTGTCAAAGCGACATTTCAACAATACCATATATTATGCCTATTCATGCAGAACGTTTTTATGAGGCAAAAAATGAGAAAGACAACTTAACGATCTTAAGAATCTAAAGAAATTGATAATTATGTAAGCTTATCAGGAAATATAGTTAAAAATGAGAAGTAACTTTTCTGAAGTGTTGAATAATCCATATTTTATTAAGAAATTTTATCAAATGCCATTTTTCATACTATACCACTCAAGTTAATTTTATAGTCGAAAAATTATAATTAATTATTAATGTAAACATGTTTTTACTTCCTGCTAAGGAAGCTTTGCATTTGTGATGATATTCGATTTTCTAAAAATAAGTTATTTGAATTCATTTTAATATATAAAGTACAATACATTTAATGTTTTAAATATATGTCTGGAAAGATATATAATAGGTATGTATGTCACACATCCTTATAAATATTATCTCATCAAAAGGTTTTAACGAATTCTTTTGTAGGTTTATAATAGTCACAAATGTTGAAAATCAAAGTTGTAGTATTTTTCCGTTTCCTAAATGTTTCCAATATTGTAGAAATATTATTATATATATTAATCTAATTATATTTAATCATTCATAAAATGAAAATGTAGCAAAATTATCAAAGAGAAGGAGAAATTATGCGAAATTTTTTCTTTTTTTTCTTAAAAAAAATTAGAATTTTCCAATAAACATTAGACAAATCAAAATCATGCACATTTTTTCATTTTTTATTCTATATGAAAAACTTTGTTTAACAGATCGAAATTATGCAGGATTTTTCTAATTACTTATAAAAATTGATTTCTTTGGATTAACTTTATGCAAATTCTAATTTAGATACAAAATTGAATTCCTGAGAAATTTATATTATTTATGAAAAGAATTGATTTCTTACGAAGAATTTTACAACAATTTTTTTAAATAATTGAATTCTGTATGGAAATTTTATGAAAATAATTGATATTGAAAATCAATGAATTGCGAAAAGTTTTTAAAAATAATTTTTACAAAAAATTCTATTAAAATTTTTGAGAATAATTGAATGTCTGTGTGGTATTTGGGCAGTTCCATAGGAAAAGCAAATGGTGGATCACTAATTTTTTTTAAACTCTGTAATTTTGTAGTACTTGGAGTACTAAATAACTGTACCAAACAGTTTTGCAAAAACAAAATTTTTTTGCAAGATATTTACATTTGAAAATTCTGAATTTGAAAAAAAAGACTTTTTTCGAGAATTTTTGTTTCGAAAACTATTGATTCCACAAGAAAAAGTCATTTATTCAAAATTATAGAGAAAATGTTATTTTTTTATAATATTAAGAAAAAGTTTAAAAAAAATTAATTTGTCAATAATTTATTTAAACAATAATTTTTTATTGTTAAAAAACATGCTAAGAACATTATGGAATTTCCTAGAAAAATTAGTTTCTCAAAATTTAAACCTTCCTTAATAAGTGGTTAAATCTTTAAAGAAGTGCTTTTTGATGTTTTTGAGAAAAAATTTTTTGAAATTTACGCTACGAGTTTTTGTGTATTACGCTAACTAAGCACTCTAAGCAGCGCCTATAACAGTGTATTTTAAAAGACGATATGACCTTTAGTCCTTTACTGCTCGCCCCTAATACATTTATTAATTATAGACGTATATACTATTATTATAAACAGTTTAAC